CTGATGGATGATGAGAAACATGTGGCTAAGCAATCCCCACTTACCCATCGATATCAAGCCACTGCTATTGTAGTATGAAAGCAGTCATAGGTGATACATAAACACATAGGTATGGCCTTGCTCCAGTCAAACCTAATTTATGAAAAGAGGTGGCAGGTTCTGTTTGAGCAGCAGCCTGTAGCTTGCCAACTCCTTCCTAGACCATATAGCTTCAGTCAAGCGGGCTTAGACAAGAACGGTCCAGTCAACCTAGAGAACCATGAGAAATAATAATTTTTATTTTAAGCCGTTATGTTTTGAATTGGTTTGTTACACATGCAAAAACTAACCACTACAATGTCCTAGACAGAAGAAACCAGATACAAAAATCCTGACAAGGGAGTATGCTTGTGATATTCTAGGCCTTATAAATAGAGCAATGTTACTGGAGCCAAATGAACAGGAGGAGAGTAGTAAGAAGTAAGTGCAGAATAAAAAAGATGGAGGGGATGGGACAGTCAGATTGTAAGAGCTGTGAGGACCAGTGCAGCAGAGGAGTGACATGATTTAACTTAACGTTTTAAAAAGCTTGGTCTAGTTGCTATGTTGAAAATAGACCCTGAGGTACAAGGGCAGAAGCATGGAGGTCTGTTAAGAGTCTACTGTGATAACCTGGGTGGGAGGTTGGATATGGATGCTAGCAATGAAAGTTGTGAGAAGGGATCTGAATTTGGGTATATTTTAGATAAGATGCACTCATAATTTGGATGTAGGGCATATAAGAAAGAAAGCAATTAAAGATGACTTCATGGATTTTGTCCTGGGAATTGCCATTAATTTGAAATGGAGAAGACTGCAGGTAGAGAATGTTTTGGGGAAAATATGAGGAGTTCTATGTGGCACATTAAATATAAGATGTCTATGAGGAATTTGAGTAGGTGTTTGTATACATGGGTCTGGTTTCAGGGAAGAGGATTAGACTGGAGGTACAAATTTGAAATCATCAGCACAGAGAGCATTTTATATCTGTGAGATTGATGAGATTGCCAAAGGAGTGCACGTACACAGGGGAGAGAAAAACCTTAAGAAGGGAGCCTTGGGGCATTCCAACACTAAGCTGTCAGGGAGATGATGAAGAGGAATTGAGGAACACTAAAGCAAGGGGCAGGAGACTGGGATAGGAGAGGCCAGAGAGATATAAAGAGAACTGGGAGAGTGTAATATCCGGAAGGTTAGCTTAGGAAAGTATTCAAGTAAGATGAAAGCTAAGAATTAACTCTTGGATTTATCACTGTGGAGGAAGTTGGAGATTGTGACAACATCAGTGGAGTTACAGATACGAAAGCCTGGTAGCTACGTGTTTAAGAGAATTTGGGAGGAGTGAAAATGAAGACTCTCTGAGTGTGGAGAGCACTTTTGAAGATGTGCACAGAGAAATGGATCAGTAATAGATCATCTACTGGAGGGTCATTAGGGGATCATTTTAGTGTAAGATAAAAGATATCATTGTTTTATTCTGAAGAGAATGATCTAATAGAGAGAAAATGATGATGCAGAAAAGGTGAGGCCATCTTAGACTTTGCAGCCCATTCAAGCCACCAGACTACTGCAATGGCATGAGTTAACTCCAGATGGGAAACAGAAGCAAGGGCCTTGAGTGGACAAGAAGGGATGGGCTCTAGGGCAAAAATGGAGGGGTTAGCCTTAGAGGCATGGAGGGTTCTTCTAGTAACAGAGGAGAGGGTAGAGTAAAAGTGTCTAGGTGCTCATGGATGGGAGGTTATGGTAGTAGGCAGAAATCTGGAGGTTTTTATAGTTTCTACTCAGTGAAATAGGAAGCAAGGTTATCAGTTGAGAGTGAGGACTGGGAGGACGTGCGAGTAGTAGACTGTAAAGTAATAACTCCTAGCACATTGGGCCCTTGCGTTTCCTCTCCCACGTTGATTTTGGGCTTGGCTACATGATTTTCTCTAGCTAACAGGCCATTGGCAAATACGATGCATATAGTGGCTTAAAAAATGCTCGTTTCTGGGAATTCTCCTACCACCACTTGAAGAAGCTCAAACTAGCCTGCTGGAGACATGTAGCCCATCCAGTAGCAAGCACCAACTGCCATCTTAGACTAGCCAGCCCCATTCGAGTCACCAGATGAACACAGCCACATGAGCAACACCAAGCAAGTCCAGCAGAAGAACTACCCAACTGATGCCAACCCAGATTGCTGACCCACAAAATCATGAGCAAATAAAGTACTTATGGATTTAAGCCACTATTTATTGGGATGGCTTGATACATAGCAATGGCTGCTAGATACAGAGGAGGATGTACAAATGATGGACAGAGAGAGTAGGCGAGAAAGAAGAATGGGGAAATATAGTATGATTGCTGGCAGTACTAAGGGCCCACTTAAGAGTTACAGTCGTTAGGTTTAAGTACACTCAGTCAGTATAGTTGGGTCTTTTTCTAGCCACATTCAGTTGCATGGTTGCTGGTGTGGTGTAGAGGAGAAATGGATTTAGTCAGCTAAAGAATTTTTGCCAAGCAAATACAACAAAGTCAGAGGGTCAGGTAAAGTGGAAAAGCATACAAGGGAATGATTATCATTGTTTACCATGGGATTTCACCTCAGAAAATAGAGGAGACCAACCAGCTGAAATGCAGTGAAAATGTTGTTGGACCAATTGATTGGATTTCTCAGAGGGATTAAAGGATTTTTGGCATCAGGACAGCAGGGAGGATGAATTAGAAAAAGAGGAGGTTGTGGTCAGAGTCTGATATGTGAATTAGAGATGATGGAAGGAGAACAGTTTTCATAGATGACAGGTCTGTAGTCTGACTTAACAGCAATGAGAGGCTGAATAGATTGGAGGACCAGATCGGGGGAGGAGAAAAAATAAAGAGGCCAGGTTGTGGAAGGATTATCTATGTGGATAGTGGTTTCATCAGGAATTAGGACAGGGGTGACGCTGGAGAAGATTGCCATCAGCCAGGAGCTAAAATAATCCAGCAATGTGGCGGGAGGGGTCCCTGGGTAACTGTAACAAGGGGCAGTAGTAGGGGGCATAATGTGATGACATTAAATTCTGAATGAGGTGATTTGAGGGAGGAGGGACAGAAGAAAGGATGGCCTGAAAGTGTCAACAAGGAAGAAAGACACCTTACTCTCAGGCTCGGTAGTGCTGTGTGTGGGGAGAACATGACCAGGACTTGAGAGGGCTGCTCTGGCAGCAGTGTCCTTGGGGGGACTCCAGATTGCAGTTGGAGCAAGGAGATGCAGAAAGTGTTCAGGAAAGAAGTTGAGAACACAGAGATGGTGCTGATAATGATCCATGAGTTCCGAAAAGCACAAGGGAAGGATTTCCAAAGCTGGGGAAGGGTGAGAGAAGGGGACAGAAAGGAAAAGTGCACAGCCTTTTGAGGATTAGAGTATAAAGGAGGAGTCATGCCCTGGGAAACGGGGGCGGGAGTAGTTCTTGTGGTCATGAACACCAGCAGAGATCAAAGACAGTTTGAGATTCAACCCTGGGAATGCAAGGCAGACAGTGATGGTGAGGCTGTCAGTTTTAGAGGTTGGGGAATTTCCAGGGGACCCCTCTTCACATCTGCCATAGAAATGTGGAGGGCTGGGAAGGGTGGCCGTGTTTTGTTAGTTGAACAGTCCATTGGGGAAATGCCATGCTGCATATAACCTCACCGTTGTTCCTTGATTCTGACACACATGCGTTCCCTAGGAATGATTGGCTGGATAAGGTACAGTGGCATCTTTTAAACTTCAGGGCTTGCTGATAAACTTCCTTCTTCCAAATGTCTGACAAAAACGGTGAATGGTTTTTTAAGAGAGGCAAAAAGCGCCAGAGCTGAGTCTCATGCTCTTTCTCTGGGCGGGAGTGTGTAAGCCCTGCATTTCTTTGATGATTCTCTAAAACACTTGTGCCGGCACCACCAGGGGCTTTGAAGTTCTAGTGCTCCTGACATTCTGACATCTGGACTTGTAGTCTTCTGAAGTAGCAAATTGAAACAATGGTCAAACTCCCGTAGAAAAAGAAAAAGGACAGCAAGACCATATACAGAATTTTTGATGCCACTTGCCTGATTAGAGAGAATGCTCTCTCTGCCTCTTCAAACACAGGCTCATTAGTTTCAGATTTTATTGTTCATCTCAGGTGTCTGTCACTTGCCGCCCTTCTCATCCCAGGATTTCTCCATGGAGGGGTTTACTAACCCACTCCTGAAGTGCGGATCCAAATCTACTGTTTCCTCCAAATGGCCTTTTACTTAAACATGAAAACTATATGCTTGGCCTTAGGCTGCCCGCCATGCTTCATCTTTTATCATCCCCCCTTGAGTTATACTTCTTCCTTTCACAGCAGAGGAGCTCCCTCTCTGGGCTTTGTCCTCAGTCCCCACAGGCCCTGATTTGGAAGTCTGTCTCATGTTGTTTTTACCTTCGCATCTGTCAGGCCAACTTCTCCTCCTCTCACAAGCTTCATCTTCAAGCTAACCATCTCCCAGGGAATTATCCAAATCGTGGCTTTTCAATCAATGGAATACTCTTTCTTTCACTTCTTTACCCTCTGTTTTCCATACACGTTCACATCTTTGAAGAAGGAGTGGAGGGAAAGAAGCTAACAGTTCTTTTGGTTTTAAAGTTGCTTTGTTTACTGTGAAATCCTCCCAGACAGAGCATGCATTTCTGCCAAACTTAATACCTTTATGAATTGGACCCTAATGATTATGCTTATGATTGGGTTTGCCATCTTCCTGCCACCCTCAGGTCTTCTCTTCCTAACATCTTGGACAAGTTGGGCATTTTCCTTTTCTCCCAAACTTCTTTCCCTGAAAGCTACTCTCCTTTTGCTGCCGTAAACAGATCAGATAGGTGAAGTAGGTTTTCTTTGTTGAGGGGAAAGCACCCCTCATCTCTTTCCACAACCCCCCTCTTCTTGTAACATTGTTATTTTCATCAAGATGCGGATTGACAGATAAACAGTGCAGCTCTCGTGCCCTGCCCAGTCCTGGCATCACTGAGCGCTGCTGTGCCAGCAGGAGTCCTGCATCCGGGGACTGTCCCGAAACCAAGTAGGCTTGCCAAAAGACCCTCCGGTCTTCTTCTTCACCTTTTTCACTAGGTCCCCCTTGGGAACCTTCAGATGAAAAAGTGGAAGTTCTCTCCAGTCAGAGGAAATTCTGTTTGTGAAGAAAATATCCTTCCAGAGCAAATTGGGAGAGAAGGGAGCTCAGTTGCCTGGTTGTGAAGCCCACAGGATGTCTTCACCAGAGACCAGAAAGGCACCATTCTGGTTATTCCCTTTTCTGAGGACTTGGACAACTTTTTTGGTTCTTCATTGGTCCCTGGATTTACTGGCCTTGAGTCACTCCTTGATCTAGTCTCCTAATGGGCAAAAGTGAACTTGCTTGAGAAAACATAAGTTTAATGACTGCTTAATACTGCATATTCGGGACTACATTTAACCAGTCCCGTGCTGCCTCCCGTTTTTTGGTTCTCATAAATAGCTATTCAATGAACTTCCAGTGGCTTCTTGAAACTCCCTGCATCTGTTTCTACTCTCCATTGTCCATATCTTTACTTTCCATTGACTCTTAGCTTACGAAATCAACTTCCTGCCCCCATCTTTGTCCAAGAGCCTCCTAGACCTAGTCCACTACAGGTATCAGACTAGTACAAAGGTGGGGCAACAACTAGGCAGGGATACCCCTTTTTTTTTTAGGAAGACTTTGTTTGTTTCCTTTCCAGATTGCTGAAGAGAATGATTTCCTCAAGGTATTAGGGGCTATGGAATCAAGGTCCTTAAAGAAAATGTGGTCATGACTCCCTTTATGGTAAGCTCGATATGCTCCTGGGAGGGTTTCAAGATGATCATCAAGGTGGGCAATAAAGATTCTAGTCAACAGAACCAGGACAGGAATCAACCTAACAATACCCTGCAAGACATTTACGACACCTATCTGGGCCAAGTCATCTCTGAGGAACAGATTAGAAGATGCTTGTATAGGAAAATGTTTGTTTGCTGTTTATTTAAGAGTATTCTGTAATAGAGAAGAAAAATAAGGAGGATAGACAAAACTAAGTATAGCTAATCCTTGTGAGGCATATTAGACATGGATAAAGTAGGCAGAATATACGTGTTCTGAATAGGAAGGGATGGAACGACCAAGGAGACACCAAGTATTCATGACAATTGTTGCATCCTTAGATCAGCCACCCACTGGTGGCACCCAGTTTTGGTCCCACATATCCTCTGCCCTACATACTAGGAGTACTTGTCCCTTGATGTCTCTGACAGAACTGGTGTATATTAGCTCTACATATCTTCATCAGTGGTCTTCGTAACCATACGAAGTGGAGAAAGCTAAAGCAGCAGAGAGAATGGACATGTGAACATTGCGTGACATAGGATTCAGGCTGCACAGTCCTTCCATTGGGCTAGTGTTCTCGTGTGCTCTCTCTCTCTCCCTCCCCCTCCCCCCACCTTGATTCTCACTGTTCTAAATAATTCAGTAGACAGTGGGATCCAAGCCGTCTTAGTTGGATCTGTGAGCTGTTTGGTCTGTGACGTCTTGTATATTCTGCCTGGTGATATAGTTGAAGTCTACACAAACATCAAGGTGATTTCTCATTGTGACATAGAGTGATAACAAGAGGTAAACAGATTGAGTACTTTGGCCAATAAGGGGACAAGAAACTGACAAAGACACCTGTAGATTAAATTATAAGCTGAGCTCTTTTGACTTCTAAGCAGCAAGAAAATAGACAACCTAAGGACCCAAGTTTCATCTCCCAAATACCGTTAGAGGCCCAGAGATACAGGGGTACATCAAACCAAGGGACAGGAACCATTCTTTTTCTGGGTCAAAGGATCCATCCTGAGTTACTGACTCCTACACACTCTGTGGCGCTTGAGACAGTCTAGGTTCAACAACACAAAAGTAAGTACCTGCAGTGCCCAGCAGGTAATTTAAATCAATGAAGAGGCACATTTGGGTACCTAAGTTACATTGGTGGCATGAATACATGAATGGCATGTACTGTGGTGAATTGGAGAATGTAATTGAAGATGTTAGCTAAAACTCAGCTCCATATGAAAGTTCCCATGGGACAGGGCCCAGTGTGGCCAAACAGTTAACATTTTTAAGAGAAGCCAGACATTTAGAATTTTTTGAGAATTCTTCCAGGTCAAAACTCACTAGTTTGTCAAGATTTTAGTTTCTAAATGCCATCTAGCCAACAAAAGGAACTAGAGGTCCTTGGAGAAGTGGCTGATCCTAGGACAGGGGCAGAGAAAATACATCATAAGCTTGGAGCATCTTGTAGTGCCAGAAGGTAAGAAAGTACTCCACACACACACGCGCGCGCTCTCTCTCTCTCTCTCCTCCCCCCCCCTCCCCTCTCCCCCTCTCCCTCTCTCCCTCTCTCTCTCTCATGGGAATATGTCAAGAGCCAACAGAAAGTTCCCAATGGCCAAATTGGGAACAATTTGAGCAACTAAATAAATAACATAGTATTGGTTTATAACTCAAAGTAGTAAGTAAGTATCAACGAGTCCATACTGATATGAATAAATGACTGAATAAATAAACAAATGGTAGAGAAGCTACAAGCTTTCATTTCAGAAGAATTTCAAATATTATAGGTAGACACTCTCCCCATCCAGGAGGTGACATTTAGTTCCTCTTCCCCACTCCTTGAGAGTGACCTGGACTTAGTGACTGATTTCTGAAAAGTAGAGAATGGAAAGGGGAAAATAGTAACTTTGCAGTCAAGAAACTAGCAGATCTCACCTTACCCAAGAGGTCAAGGTCAGCATCACTGGTGATGTCATGTGGAGAGCATGGAGCCCCTAATATGAAGTGATGAGAGGAGCACATACCTCTGTGGTCCTCTTCCTCCAAACCCATAACCCTGTCTATTCAGGAGAAAACCTCAGACAAACCCAAATTGATAAATATGCTACAAAATACTTGACCAGTACTCTTCAAAACTCTCAAGGTCATGAAAAACAAGGGAAGACTGAGACAGAAGAGGTCAAGGAGACATGACATTAAATGCAATGTGATGTCCTGGATTGGAACCCAGAACAGAAAAAGGACTTCAGTGGCCAAATTGGTGAAATCTGAATATACTGTTGAGTTTAGTTAATCATAATGTGCTAGTTTTAATTTCTTATTTTTAACACATGTAAGGTGTTAACAGAGGAAACTGGGTCAAGGATATACAGGAACTCTCTACTATCTTTGCAACATTTCTGTAAATCTACACTCTTCCCAAAATTTAAAAATTAGTTTAAAAATCATTAGTTGGAACAAAATACATCTGCAGGTGAATCTGACCTGGGACCATCTGTTGGATCCTCTGATTTTGAAAAATACATGTTCCCATGACACTGCTCCCCTGAATCAGAAATCACAGTAAGCCACCACCCCTTAACTCAAAGATAAGCCCTCAATGTATGGCACCCAGATTTACAATCTTTTCCTTCCTCCTAGTAAAGGTCCCTATCTTTCCCTGCTCATTTTATATATTTATATATTTATACACACACACACATGCACATATATGTATATATATATAAATATATCTGTATCTGTTTCTGTCTATTCTTTCTTCTTCCTGATATGCTGGCGTAAATGGTTGGAGCTCCAGTAGCTGTATTAGAAAAAAGATAACCTTAAGACCAGAATCCCTGTACAATGGAACAAGAAAATAATGTATTGTGTCAAATCAAATATGTCACTTCTAAGGCACACCGTTATTTTATGTACCACGAAGAAAGGAAAAAAATGCGACCAATTAAATTGACATAACCTTTTTTAATCCATTGAATTTTTCTTAGATTTTTCAATTTATACTTATTAAAAGATCTCTTTCGCATTTATTTAGACATAGATTTTGTCATTAGGTCACTCTTATGCATACACACAAAAAGGAAACCATGCATTAGATAAATTGTTTATGGTTCTGCTAGAAATTCTTCAGATTCAAGTTTCATCTCTTCTAAGATATCTGCACTCCCATGTTTATTGCAGCATTATTCACAATAGCCAAGACCTAGAAACAACCTAAGTGTCCATTGACAGACACAGGGATAAAGAAAATGTGGTATATATACAATGGTAAAAAAAAGGAAGGGAATCCTGCCATTTGCAACAAGGATGGACTATGAAGGCATTATTCTAAGTGAAACAAGTCAGACAAAAAAGACAAATTCTGTGTGATCTCACTAATATGTGTAATCTAAAAAAAAGCCAAACTCATAGAAATAGTAGAATGGTGCTGGGGGGTGGGAGAAATGGGGAGATATTGGTCAAAGGGTACAGACTCTCAGTCATAAGATACATAAGTTCTAGGGATCTAACATACATCATGGTGACTATAGTTAACAGTCTTGCATTATATACTTGAAAGTTGCTAAAGGAGTAAATCTCTAAAAAATTTTAACTTTCTTTTATTGAAGTATAGTTGATTTACAATATTATATTAGTTTCAGGTGCACAGCATAGTGATCAGTATTTTTATAGATTATACTCCATTTGAAGTTATTACAAAATAATGGCTATAGTTCCTGGAGTTGTTCAATGTCTCCTTGTTGCTTATCTACTTTATACATAGTAGTTTGTATCTCTTAATCCCATACCCCTATTTTGCCCCTCCCCACTGGTAGCCACTAGTTAGTTCTCTATATGTGTAAGTCTGTTTCTGTTTTGTTATATACATTTGTTTGTTTTACTTTTAGATTCTACATATAAGTGATAATATATAGTATTTGTCTTTCTCTATCTGACTTATGTCACTAAGTATAATATCCTCCCAGTCCATCCATGTTGTTGCACATGGAAAAATTTCATTTTTTTTATGGATAAGTAATCTTCCTTCCTATCTATCTATCTATCTATCTATCTATCTATCTATCTATCTATCTCATATCTTCTTTATCCCTTGATCTACTGATGAACACATAGGTTGTTTCCATATCTTGGCTATTGTGAATAATGCTGCTTAATGCTGCTACACTGGGGTGGGTATATCTTTTCAAAGTAATGTTTTTTTTCCCTGGATGTATACCCAGAAGTGGAACTGCTGGATCATATGGTAGTTCTATTTTTAGTGTTTTGAAGAACCTCCATA